AAAAAAAAAAAAAAAAAAAAAAAAAAAACAAGAAAAATAAGAAAAAGAATTGTCGTAGATAAAACACGATATTGTTTGCAGCGAAAAAAAATTTATTAAAATTAATGCTTATAGGAGACCAAAAAAAAGTGTTACCTATCTTTTCAAGGGTTTTTGCTTACTGCTTCCACAAGAGCTTTATATAGTTTTCAGGCTATGCAATAAAACCATAAAGAAGGTCAAAAAAAACCTGAACTTTCACAGCTATTTTCCTTCAAATTTTTTTTACAGCAGTTTAAGTATGCTAACTTTTTTTATAAGTAGACTGTTAAGTGTTTTTTTTTGTTGCAAGTTTGTATTAACAATGACAAATATGTTACAAGCGATTGTTACTAAATATAATGGCAATAGTGCAAAAAATCAGTGAACTTTACCATCATCTTATCGTTGACCAAAACATTCAAACTTCCGACAGTTCATTTTTTTAACAACTACTGTTAAGTTGTTCAGTAAATACGCAGTTTTTTTCTCCAAAAGTATTGCTGTTTTAACAAAATGAAGTGAGCAGCCCCACCCGGGGCGCAGCTGAGATACGCAAATTAGTTTGAAGCTGCTGCTAATCTTATTGTTTCAAAAATTTGAATAATTTATCATAGGATTACCAAATCTAATTTTTTTTTCATAGTTAAGATATTAAAAATAAACAAGCGTTCAGCCGATTATGTTACATGAGTTCAATCTCAGCCGTATGGGCGTTATAGGCGCTCGTAAGATCACTAACAGCTGGGCACGTAACATTGTTACTGTTGACATGGTGCAACGTCGGTTCCGAGAGTTTGCTTCCAAAGATACTGCCACTGTTAAGAATGTGGAACATCATGGCCCAGTTTGGTGGCAGCGCTTTTGGCACAACGCTTGTCGAATTATTCCATCTAAAGATAAAATAGTAAACTCGGAATTTTGGGCTTTGCACCACTGTTTTCCGTTCTTAAAGAAAAGGCGAAAAAAGGTTTGTGTTTGGATGATTCTTTTAACAAATCACTTTTTTTTTAATAGCGTATTTTCAATTTACTATAATTCTCTGAAACATTGATTTCATAAAAATATTCGACTTTCAGTCAGAATTTACACTTATTCAAGCAGTGACCACTTGACCAATTTTATCGCTATGCTGATTTACTTGTATTTTATTCCTTTTTTTTTGTAGTATTTCGATTTATTCTGGTTTCTTATCAAAAGTTCTTACATATAGGTGTTTAGGTTTTTGTCATAAATTTACTGTTCTCTTATGCTATCTTGTAGTAGCACAAATTTTTTTTCGTAAAGTTATTACCAAAAAAACTGCTAAAAGTGTTTGTTGTTTTTTTAAGTATCCTTATTAATACTGAAATCTAAAACTACGTCGTACAATTCTTGCGATTCTTATCTTGCAAAATCTGTTTTAAAAAAACGTTTACCAGTGAGGTGTTTAAAACGTTCATTATTGGTCCTCATCATATTCATCATCGTCTTCTTCTCTTTCACCTTTACATCTTCATTAGTATTCTTATAAAGCAAATTTTATCATACTACTTTTGAGCTGCTTAAACTGAGCAGAAAACTTGCTTTTATTCATTTTTTTTTTGCTTTTTTTTCTTTTGTATGTCTTTTACTATATGTGACAACTGTTGTATTGACAACGAGAAAAAAATTGTTGTATTGACTTATGCTTGGGCCAATAAAAATTTACGCGTAGGAGTTACCGAAAAATTGCTAAATTTTGTCATTGAGGGTTACGCAGTCAAAATGGGTATCCAAAAAGAAAGTAATATTTTTTTTATAGCTATGGCAGTTGCCAACAAAATCTCAAAGCTAAAACAGGGGCAGCGTCATTTGGTAGAGATGTCAAATCATATTTGATGTTCTAAGAATTTTTTCTTCATTTACGTCTTCCCTCCTCCTCGTTTGCATTGAATGAATAATGAGTAAAGGGTTTTTTTTGCTCTGATGACATCATAGACAAAGTTACACCCTTCTTTTTTCTGTTTTTTTCGTATTTTTTTTTCGTTTTTGTTTACAACAATCAAACAACTTTATGGTTTATCGAGAATTTACCAGCATATGACCAGAATAGTACGACAAAAAGTTTTTGTTAAAATAAAGGTAAAATGTTCCAAGTTAAATGCTACCATCTGACACCGTGTCAACATTATACAGTGTCAAAATTGTATGATGCTTATGCACCGTCATATGGTAAGCTTTAACGTCAGGTTTGTCTTATCTTTGTATCTTACAACTTTAGTTAGAAGTTGAGCCGGGAACATCGGTAAAA